AGAATTGAAGATGAAAAGTTATCTTGACATCTTCTTCTTGCTCATTTCCATTTTGTCAAAATTTTTTAACATCCTTGTCTATGAAGCAACTTCATGATATCAACAACTTGAATTTGGACATCATAATCTAAAAAGTCATATGATAATATTTTTTGATCAAGAATTTACATGTATGTGTTAACTTGTGAACAACTTGTGAAACACTTCCACTCTCCTTGCTCTAAAATTGTTAATATTCATTACTTGATCTCTCGAAATCTATTGTTGCATCTACTTCTCTAATCAATGAAGCATCATCCAATAGTTATTTGTTCTATACAAAGGTAATCCTTGTGTCATTGATGAATAGTTTGCACAACTCAACCAAAAACGTCTAAACAACAAATCATGACTAGTTTCTTTAAGCAGTTGTAAAAATAACAATCCTCACACTCATCACAATCTTGTACACTACGTCAAATGGTCATACACTTTGTTTGTTTACTATATCAACAATTATACTAGAAGGTCCAAACATATTCATTCTCGACTTCCATAGCAGCATTGCGGCCATTGTATTCACCGAAGAGCCTCCATCAACCAACATGTCTGAAATATCATGTCCATAGATTCTCACTTCAATCTTTGAAGTATAAGTATACATCTTTGAAGCAGCAATATTTATTACAACACATTTTTTGATGAATACAAAAGATGAAAAATATCTTCGCACTTTAAAATGTTTGCATTTTTTCTATCTTAAGCAAAAATTTATCAAAGCCACACACTTAGAAGTTAATTTTATAAATATTCTCATGATCAAATCAGGAATAAATTCTCCTTTGAACAAAAGTATATTTAAAGAACATTGTTGTTCCAAACAAAATTTTAATACAAACTGAATTTTTGGAATAATATACTCTTCCATACTTCCATCTTTGTCATAGAACAAGCTTTCACATAAGTTATTGCAAATTTTTTCTATATATATATATATATATATATAATTTGTTTGATTAATTGAAGACTTCCATCCTTTTGATGTATTTACTTGATTCAAACTCATAATTATTGATGATTAAAATAATATTAATAACATGAATCTTTAGTCCAAAGGTATTTTCTATTGCCTCTAGGGGAGGTGATTTATTATAATAAATCCTGTTGAGCAGGGTTCGATTCAATAACCACAAATTCAACCAACTGATACGGAAATGGTTAGTGTTCTCAGTTCATAATTTCGCACTCTTTGTATAGGACTTGCCCTCTAGGAGTGTACATAACTATGGTGCATTCTAATCAAAATTTGACCATCCAAAGGTGTTGTGAAGGCTACTTAAGGAAGTAAGTATGCGTTAATAAGCCAAATGTTGTAAATAATCATTGACTTTTCCAATGGAGGAGGATGTATTAACATATATCAAGCTTTCCTCAGGGACCCGGCCAACATGTAAGAGATTGGTATAGCTCCAATGAATCATATATCGAACAGTAAGATTGGATCTGTGTTTCGATGAAAGAAAATTAACAAACATGATCTGGTCTAAGCGGGTGAGCGGAGAAAGAAAATCGGAAGGAGAATTGTAGCGAACGAGCTGGTCCAGCCGAAGTGGAAACCCTAAAGAGAACACGGCAGGTAGAAATGCTTTACAAAAACCTTCACTGACTCTTTCGTCGGAAAGGTCCGATCACAAGATTCAAGTCCTAGGAGACAGCAGACTACAGCCTGCCGCAACTCGTGCACCGCGGTTGGACCTCACGCAGTTCATGCCCAATGCATTGCGGTGAGAGCTCCAATGCTCGATACGTATATACTCTCCTCATACATACGACTACGTCTTTTGAGGACGTATCCTCCATGCCTCTAAATAATTAGTGGTCATGACGTCATGCCTTTGTTCGTCCTACACAAGTTCCACCAGCGTAAGCCCATGCTGATATTTTGTTTTTACCTGAGCTGTCTCCCTCACCATATTTACCCGTCCACGTTTCACTGGGTTAGTGCCCGAAGCCAATCAGTCACGTCCGCCCCTTTATTCCCTAAAAGCCGACCAGCCGGCCAATACCGCCACGTGTTTGCTATTCGGCCTTCCACTTAGCGCTGACCGTTTGGAGAGTTTACCCAGTCCTCTCGATTGCAATGTATTGCCTGCCCCTACTTCCCTCAAGTTCTCGTACATTCTTCTCTGGATTACCATACTTCAGTGACACAACTTACTGATCTACGCCAACCATGGTTTGCATTTTGCTATAGCGCTGAGAGTTGTGATCATTGTATCCACCTATATTTGAGATCAGAACTAGCTCCGTCGGATGTGTAATTTTCAGCTGATTGTCTGAAATTTTGGGTGTGATAAGGACGGGATATCTTTGGCACAGGCCTGTTTGTCGTTAGGGTTTCTAGGTCTCGACCGACTTTTTCTGTGTCTAAGGACGTCTTCTGTTTCAACACTGTCTGGTCAAACTTGCAATTCGGTCTCTCCCCCTTGCTGGAAATAGAATAGGAAACACCAATTTCTTCGGAAAGTGAACAATTATCTATGGGATTCGATGAAACATGACCGAGCAACCAGGAAAAAATAAGCTCGTTGGCCTCACATCTTTCAAGAGCATCGGGGATACATAGTTGCTTGCTCGGGTGCAGGATATCGCACGGTAAGGCGTCGAAAAGTTCTTCGAACATGAGAAGAGAAAAGATTGCTTCACTTAGGTTTACAAGTTCCAAATTATTTCGATTATACTCGCCTATAAACTTCCTAGTTTCCCACAGTAGATTGTAACGGAGAATAGAACTAAACGCATCTGAAGATCTCATACAAGGAGGAAACGGTGCGGGTAACATGGACCAGCCTCACTAGCATCACAATGTACTCTATGTAGTGCTCCACCTGGAAATTCTGAACATAATTAGCGCGATTGGCATACAAACATCATAGAGATGAACACTGACTCACCGACACTAGTATGCGATATTTACAGAGATTGAAAATATATTGACTAGAGTATGCTTTACAATAAAATAAAATAAGAGTGATATTAAGTGACTCCAATTTCTATCCCAATTTTTTATACGGTCTGATATACTAACATGTTTAAATCTTAAATAAACAAATACATAAATCGGCATACATAAATTACTAGAACTCCAAAACTAGCGCTACAAGAAGGTATTGTATATACCTTTAAACTTATAGATTTAGGCTGAAGCTCCTCTACTCGCCAACGGTTTTAGGAGTGTATTTGCCTCCTTTTAAGAGCTCTTTCAGCAAAGAGTGCGAATGCTAAAGTAACTTTCTATTCATGAACCAAATACGTATTCGAATCATTCGCAAGATATACCACCAGCTTTTTCATTCTATGTTTGATTTTTTATTTTCTACCGCCGAAACTCACATCCATAGCTCTCTTATAACTTCCCAGTGGGCAAGTTATCGCGTGGACATATGTTGCATCCATTTGTTGTAAAGTAATGAAAATGTACAAAGACACCAGGTGTGAATTGGAAATTCTAGATAAATACTTGAAACAGAATCCACTAGAATTTAACTTTGACGAATAATGATTATGGTACTGAAACGGTCCGCACTTAATGAAAGCGGAAAATATCGAGATTGCAAGTAAAAATTGACAAGTCAGGACGCGCTGGAAACTATCCGTAAAAGCTGCGGTATGGTATAGCTCCTAGAAATAGCTGACTGATTTTGACCACATGAAGTTAGAATGGATGGCAAGTACTAACATGTCCTATGATGATTGTATTTTGCGCAAGTTTTAATCTACTACCATTTCCTTCTGGTCTTCTCTTCTAGAACCGATATATGCCATAATTCCCACCCTAGCTACTGCAACTGCGCGGATTATTCGAATTGGTGCAAACTTCTGAGTCAGATCGAAGTCATCGAAACGTATAAACATTTGATGGAAAAGAGAGGACATTATACCAATCCTCCCATTGGCTCTCATATGAATGAGAAGCGTGCGCATCCAAATTTTATAATTGTCACGAAGTAGGCCATCTATTATTCGAGAAATCAAATATTTGTTTCTCAATAGAAGGCTTTTTCTAGGTTTGGTTTCCATGAGTCCCTGACATTCGAGGAGAATAAACGGTCCAGAACTATACATTTTTTAGGGCTGCACATAAGTACTGCTTCCTAGTCCGTCGTACTCACTTAGCACGACGTTAATTCAATCAAAAAAATACGAAAACGCGAATCTCTGTCGCAAACCTTCAAATTTTATTTGTATTTTCCCCTTAGCTTTCCATATATCTTCCGATATCCAGTTGTGGCCGCAGTCCTTCCCACATGTGGACGGTATTAACCTGTTTTATAACATGGGCTTCAATCAACAAGGAGTTTTTTAAATTTACTGGTGCAAAATACGAGAATCACGTGATACCAAAGTTCTAGATAGCCAATATTAAATGTAGATTGGACTTTGAGTAAAATACAAAATAGTTGAAAAATCTGCCTTAAAATGGGTTGGGGTGATTTTCATCACTCTTAAGTTATGTAATAAGTAATTATTTCCACAAGAAGCAATTTAAATCGAATAAAATTTCCACGTTGCAATTTGTATGGTTGATTGTGAAAAAAAGTAGAACGAAATAAATTAAACCCCTCTGTTGTTGTATGAACATTATAACAGTTTCTATTCATACGATAAGATGTTTGGTAATTGATGCAAATAACTGGTACACTAGTGGAAGTCTTTATCATACATAGTTACTTAGGATGTACAAAGAAAAACGAAACGGGCTAGTTGATGTCGAGCATTCAGTTACTTCTGCAAACGAGAGGGAGTGAATGGAGAGGATAGTAGAGTAAAAGTACAAAAAACGTATTTGTCAGACAAAGCGAGGAAATGACACTTTTAAGTGAAAAGAAGAGGAGAACCAAGAGCCGTGAGGCGGTGTCTCGAGCACGACCGATGCACCGAAGACCTCGTGAGTTGGTGGAGCTGGCTCCATCTGCAGGTCATGACGCGGGAAGTCCCGCCGTTAACTCCAGGCTAAATGTCAAACATGCGACGAACGGAGATCCAATCTCCTCCGCCCAACGTCCCGTCGGACAGCCTAGAGGCGACAATCGGGATTAACGACGTGCTAATTAGTCACTGCTTAGGCACCGTATGACTGCAGTAGCTGCCTTCCACCGTACCCGAAAGAGGGATCACGATGATCTACGCTTGGCTCGTCGCGGCCACTAGCGCCGCCGCGTACTCACGTTCACTGTGAAGACCCTAACAGGGGCCGATCGCTCTCCCTCCTCCCTCTTTCGCTCTTGTTCTCTCAAGCAGCGGGTTGTTCGGATCGCCTGCTCTCTCCTCCTGCGTCCCGACTGGCCTCGAGCCTGGTAAGCGCCTTACTTATGCACTCGATTTCTCTCGGAAATGTGTGAGTTGTGATTCGGAAGCGGAGGTCTTCGGTAGATCTCCTTCTCCGCATCCCTGTGATCACTTTCGGTACCGATTTTGACCCTCTCTCGAGCTTGTGTCTCACTTTGAAATTTTGTCCACAGTTTGGTTCACTCGGTGGCAGTTTCGTGATTGTTGTGTGTCTTTACCTTTATTGTGAGACCCGTGCGTTGGTTGTGTCAAGCCAATGGCTACACACTCAGTTTTGATTGCAGCAGTAGACATACTCACGCCATGTTTGCGATGTCAAACCGTAGCGATCAGTTTTCTATGTTAGATCTGCTTTTCTGTCCATTAGCTAGTCGTTTCTGTTCTTTCAGCCACGATACCTTTCGGTTATTTAGGAGCCTCTCGTTTATCTCATGTCCGGGAAGCTATTCGTAACCATATCATCGCCTTAGGAGGTGTTAAGGCGATGTGTTGAGAGCCCTTGTCATCTTACGGGCTGTCAATGTCCGATCTTATTGAATGTTCTCGTTCTGTGAATATGTGTTTTGAATCTTTTGCACTCTAGCTACGTAGCAGACCATCGAGGAATCTTTTTGTCCATCTCTGCGTCTCCTGTTAGTGTGCCTCTTGGATCTGCAGTCCTCTCCATGTCCTCGACGTAACACAGGTCGACTGTCCTTTGGTTCAAGTTATTGGACGCGAGGTGTCTCAGCACTACTGATAGATCTTCATTATGAGTAGTTTTTGGAGGGACAGTCGGGTATCTTTAGCTCTTCCTTGCACTGGATAGATACGACGGGATTTTCAGTGGATTCGTGCACGATCGTTGTCACTACACCCTATGCAGCAATCTGCCTATGTTCCTGTTCTCGACTGAAATCATGAGCTTGTCGCATTGTATATGCCCCGTACTGGTTCGAAAGTCCGCTTGGTGTAGAGTCTGAGTTGATATCAAGTAGATGTGTTTTCTTATTCTCTTGTCTGATTCGTTGACGCAGGTCGATTTTGGAACTGATTCAAGATGGAGAGACAACAGTATACGACCTCTCTGGCCCAGAGATTCTCGGGCCAGACCTACTTGGGCTCTAAAATTGTTCCGAGGAGGAGCATTGCCGTCCCCGAGATCAACAACTATGGAGCTTTCCGCCCCGGAGTTCTCCCGAGGACTTCAGTGTACAATCCTTTGTGCCCAATCGATTTGAGCAAGGGGCCGAACATGGCCCCCAGCGTCTCCAGCAGCGTGTTCGTACCGGCACCAGCTGAGAAGGGAGTCGCAGGATTCATGATCGACTTTTTGATGGGAGGTGTGTCGGCAGCAGTGTCGAAGACGGCCGCCGCTCCCATCGAGCGAGTGAAGCTTTTGATCCAGAACCAGGACGAGATGTTGAAGAGTGGACGCCTGTCGGAGCCCTACAAGGGAATCGGCGAGTGCTTCAGCCGAACCATCAAGGACGAGGGAGTGGTCGCATTGTGGCGTGGAAACTTGGCGAACGTTCTGCGATACTTCCCCACGCAGGTAAGCAGATTGGGACGCACGTGCGGGTGAAGCATGATGGCGGAGAATCTAGGCTTGTAAATGAGTGATTCAAAGGGAAATGGGTTGTTGATTGGTGGGCATGATGAAAGAAATTTGAGCGTGATGATGTTTGTTTTGGGTTGGCAGGCGTTGAACTTTGCGTTCAAGGATTACTTCAAGAAGTTGTTCGGATACAAGAAGGACAAGGACGGATACTGGGTGTGGTTTGCCGGAAACCTTGCATCAGGAGGTGCCGCCGGTGCTTCATCATTGTTGTTCGTGTACTCTTTGGATTACGCGCGAACCCGTCTAGCTAACGACGCAAAGTCGTCGAAGAAGGGAGGAGGCGACAGGCAATTCAACGGGCTTTTGGACGTTTACAGGAAGACACTGGCCAGTGACGGTATCGCGGGACTTTACAGAGGATTCAACATCTCGTGCGTGGGTATCATCGTGTACCGTGGATTGTACTTCGGAATGTACGACTCCCTGAAGCCAGTGCTGTTGACTGGAAACCTGGAGGTAAGAGTGGGAGTGAGTGGGAGATGTGAAGATGGTGATTTGTTGCATGAGGGTTGGCAGTTGGATGCAGGTGGAATGGAAGGTTGATAATGTTGTGATTCGTTCTTCTCAAGTTACACAATACCAGTAGACATAGTGAGAGGTTTTGGGACGAAAGTCAGGGGCGAGAGCTGATGAGTGGTGGTTGATATGTGCAGGGTAACTTCTTCGCTTCATTCATGCTCGGATGGGGAATCACCATCGGAGCGGGTCTTGCTTCATACCCCATCGATACCGTCCGACGTAGGATGATGATGACCTCCGGTGAGGCCACGAAATATTCGAGCTCTGCCGCTGCATTCAGGGAGATCATCGCTAAGGAAGGAACCAAGTCGCTGTTCAAGGGCGCTGGTGCCAACATCTTGCGTGCTGTCGCTGGTGCTGGAGTGTTGGCTGGTTACGATCAGCTTCAGATCTTGTTTTTGGGCAAGGCATACTCCGGAGGCGGTGGTTAAGTGTAGTTAGTTATGGAGTAATCTGACAATGACGATATTTTTTCACAATTGTTCAATTTTGCCAATCAAATCAGGAGCCTTGTCATAATAGAGGAATCCTTGAAACATCCTTGAGACGTATCGGATGGTTTTCTCCTGAGCATATACTAGTTAGAGGTTTGCAAGTCCTGGGACATTTCACTACCCTCCTAGTTCACTCTAAATGAGTTGAATCATGTGAAGAGATGGTAGTGACTTCCATTTATACTGAAAATATCTTGTACAATGCCGCAGGCATTAAAACCATCACTCTCTAATGGTTGAGTGTGCTCAGATTAAGAGGCTTTGAACACTTAAGACTCGGTCTCTTTTCACATACCTTTCAATCCGGACGTGTGCATTGAGGAATGTACGTTACAAACGTGCTATATACCCACCGTCTCATTTGCATTATTTTAAATGCTTGAGCCCTTACAACTGTGAATTTAAAAGAAATGTCGCCAGCGTTCATTAACGAATACGAGGTAAAAGTATGTTAGTGTTGAAGGTGAAGTCGGATTGTTTATAAGTGTGTTGCAATCAAGAAATGAAGGTTTGGAGAAGGAAAAATTTGTGAGTAGTAGAAATCTGGAAAACGAAGTAATGAGGAAGAAGGAAAAAGATAGAGAAAATTGTAGAATATAAAACGTTGATACAGTATTTTCTACACAGTATGTAATAATGTAATGAAAAAAAATAAACTCCTAATTGTTGGGAAAATGGAATAAGAAAAAATGTAACTATATTCCTCCTCTAGACTTTAGTTAAATTTACGTTTACCAACTTACAGTTGAAGTCAGCACAAAATCTCCTCGACTCGAAAGGTCAAACTTCGCGTAATAATGCAACACGATGATAGGAAAAAACCTTCGCTGAGAAACTTTCGCTGAAGGGTGGAGAACATTATCTAAAAAATTAGAAATAACTTTAGTCACATCAATAGTGTAAATTTACTCTACAGCACAAGATTTTGGGGAAAATCCACAAAGCATCACAGTGAAAAATATCTGGTGACAAATGTAAGTTCTTCGAATATCTAAATAAGCAGACTCTAAAACCTCTAACACAGAAATGCTGATCTTCTATGGGTAACATCAAGTAGTATTCTCCTTTGAATTTTTTATAAAGTCGCAATGACAAACAAATAAAACCTTTGAACCTCGTGTTCGAAAACACTATTTTCTCACAAACATATTGGTTTAACCTCATATAATTCTTACAACTGAATTACCGTCATCCTTCAATACTCGAAAATGATCCAAAGATACTCAAAAGGAATATAATCGATCTCATCACAAATATTACAATGCTCGATTCTGTTGGCCATTCAATATGCAATCTTATAATTTCACGACTGGGAACCCTAGGCAGAGTAACAATTTGTCCGCAACTCCTTTCATCAATTCTACAAAGTCTGGCATAAGCTTTAGAGGAGTCACTTAGAATAGAATGATTAGTTCTAAACCATCCCTTTCAGAGTCGGGACGTCGATCTGTCTCAGTTGAGCGAGGGCACCGAAACCCGTAAAGCATCATCCAGTTCCTCACCTGCACCAGACTGAAGCTCCGTGCTTGCAACTTTTATAAATTGACCGCACTCTGCACTTGGTAGTCCGTCTGTTGATTCACAATTCGAACCACGCTCACCTTCACCAGAACGAGAGTTGCAACTTTTTAATTTACTGCAAACCCAGCGTGCCAGAGAAAAGGTGCAGGACGCGTCTAATGTTGGAATTGATCACACAGTGATCGAGGCGTGTTGCGCCGAATGTTCACCTGAGATTTTTCTACAACCGAGCACACTGTTCCGCAGACTTCGGCCGTCTCCACCTGCCTCATGCGATCCACACGTCAGTTGCAGTTTGGCTGCTCTTGAGCTACTGTGCACTCTTTCTCATCTTTATTTCGTTGCGAATTTTTTCGATAGGTTACCCCACTTTGTTATGGATCCTGCCACCCACTACTATTAGGGACCTCTCAACAGTTTCAATCTCATGAATTTGCAATGTATGAATATAATTCAATGCTCAACAACTACCTTTTATGTAGTGATGAAATTTCACCCTGTTTTCGGTCAATTATTTTATCATACATGCTCCAATATTAAAACTTCGTTAAAATGATAGTGTAAAATGAATAAAAATGATTCAAATTTCATGCATGTGCGAGTGGAGTGATATGTTAACAATTTAAATATTGTCTATCTAAAATTAAAGTTTAACTTTTAATGTGTTCGTAAGAATGATTGAAAACTTATCTTACTACAAAATGAGATATCAATTTATTTTTTTACATATTAAACTTTTCATAAAAAGTTTAAAGGTTATGTTAATAATTGATTGAGGTATATCCTTTAGGGGAAATCCCAAGGGGGATTGTAGCATGCTGGGAAAAGGGGAGCGAAACCGAAAAACCATTTTTTTCCCCGAACTATTAGGTGCTATGGATTAGTTTTCAAGTTAACTGGACGGTTAACGATCACGACCCGTCGATCGTGACTATATGCCGCCAGCAAGCGCACTTTGAGTCAAAGTGCGCTAAAAGTCTCTAAAAAGCGACTCAAAGTCTTTGAGTCGCTTTTTAGAGACTCAAGCCACGGGTTCCGCCCTGGGAGAAGCTGTCATAAAGCCCTCCGTAACTCGTGGACGGCACTGACTTGGCTTGTACAAATTAATTTAAATTTTTACAAATTAATAATATTTAGTTAGGCTAATTAGCTCTTTATATTTTATATAAAGAGCTAATTAGTTGATTTAATAGTTGGTCATAGCCATGTGACACAAAAATTAGAGTTGCGAACTTTTTTATATGTTTACATAAGGTTACTTAGATTAGATTAATATTTCTGTGTCAATTTTCGTGAAGTATGATTGTCTCCATATTATTGGATTGCAATTGATATCCAAACTTGAGAGATACAGGTGACAAGTATGAGTGAAGAATTCTATGTACAAGAACATGAAGAACAAGAACAACTTATGAGAGTTGATGGACAAAGATACCTCTCGCAAGCTATGAGATTTGGTCTTGTTTATCTATTTTTTAAGATCACGATATTACAAGTGATAATTGTAATAAAAATATGTTAATAATTAAAAAATGAATAAATCAGGAATTTTTCATTAAAATTGAGTTGAATATTTCTATGAAGTGTGATAGATTATTAACAACAAGGCTTGAAAACCAATGGAAATTTTAAATTATGAATCTTTGATTGAGAGAAAGCGAGTGTACAAGTTGAAAGAATATATAGAGTATGGTTTGAAGATTATCACCAAACCAAAGTGGTTATTTAGAGCTTTAGACAAGAATATTTATGAATTATAATATTCTTTTTTTCACTTTAATAAGATTATGCTACAATTTGACTAGCATGTGCATTTGTTGCAATACTTCATCTATATTAACATTATTGAAGTTAACTCTTGTGGAGGATTTTAACCTCGGTCCTAGGTAGATATAGCTAGGAAATGTTACGAGGATGAATGTACTTAACCCTAGATATTTATGATTGTACATTTTCACTATTGCAATATATTTTTGAACGTAGCTCTAGGTGAACCACTTTATCCTTGTGTCATCTCGTGTTTGCCATCTTGTATTTACCATTTGGCTATTGCTATTTCGATGTCTTGGACTAACAAACATCCATATAATACAAGTTTATGGATTAGATGAATGTTGTCACAACATTATTCTATGGATCTTTGAAAGATGCAATCTACAAAGCACAACCTATAAAACGTATAAATAAAATCTAAGACGTTGACTAATTAGTTATTTTAAAGTATAACTAAGGTTTTGGTTAATTTTAGTTAATGCTAGTTAGGCTAATTAGTTTGCTTCTATTTGAAAAAAACCTGGTTGCATTTTTTTGAGATAAATGTAGTGGTTTTATCATAATGATGTTATGTTGTTGTGTAAATAGACGCATTTATGTGAAGCACATGTTTTTTATGTTGATATCTGTGAAATGCATGACTTTATATCATCAGAAAACACATAACTCTATTATAAATCAAATGATTTTTATTTACAGAATAAATGTCAAGTAAATTGATGCTTCTTTGTCTTTTCATAATGGTCTTCATATCATATATCATACGGTTCATATATCTCATTGTGAAAGTATCGAGACTATGTAATTTGTATTGCTTTGGTTTCATACATGTCATGATTCCATAAGTTTGAAATATCTTTGGAAAAACATTATTGTTTTACTTTTATTTGCTAAGAATCTCGAGCTTCAAGTTATACACATATTTTGTGTTCAATAGCATATCTTGTGTTAATAAATGAAAAATTTGATCTAGATGTTGAATAAATATAGATCTGCTTGTTGTATTTTGCTAGAAAATTCAACTGAGGATTTACGGTCCACATTCCCCTGAAATCTAGAGATTGTAGCAATCATGTTTGCTTCATTCGACAATGAAGAACAATTTATGCTTTTACAAATCCATAATATTTCGATAGTGGCCGACATGAATATGTCGAATCAGGGATATATATTTATTTATTTATTTCCAAATGAATTTTCCTTGATTTCTAAACAGATATGCGGTGGTTTGAAGAGTCAGCATTCGAACCATGCAATACATACACATGAATTTCTTCGAAAATGATGTAGAAGTTTATATAATAAATCTCGGGATAAATTTTATTGAAAATTATTTCTTAAATAATAATTGGATCTTAGGTGGCAAAACACGAATCTTGATAGATCCGACGAATAATCAGACGCGTTTTATAAGAAGGGGAACTTAGTAAGATTTGCATGTTTAGAGTGTGTGGGAAAATCAAAATGTTTTCGAAACAGCACAAAGAATGGTGGTGTTATTCCATCAGAAAAAAAAATTAGAACTTCAAAAATAGCTGTACATGGAACTAGCACTTTTCTTTTCGAAGGCTATTCTGCAAGACTCATTACCCATTTTTGCATGTTTCCAAATAATATATAGAATGCGACTTTTCAGTTTAGTTAGAATCAAAGGGTTTTGTGACCAACATGAGAAATGGCTTTGGTTTTTGATCTACACTCTTAATAAAAATCTGGTTATAGATGAATGTTTTTTTTTCTTAAACGAGTTCAATTCACTTTGATTGAGCTCTCATAAGAACGAAAGGCAGATCATGTCACAAAAGATACTCGACCATTCTTTTGATTGAAGAATGATGAATTATGCGTGTTGCTACTAGTGTGCTCATCACATAATACGTGATTACCCATCATGAACAAGAACGGAAGAAAGACACCATGGGGGCTCCTAGATTGAGTTTGAGCGAGACTGTTATGAGTGGAGATGAAACAAAAGATATGAAGGGCATTGAGAAATTTTAAATCAGTAAAAACAGAAGAGAATATAAAGATGCATATATTATCACTTATACAAAGGCTGGAGTTCATTCTTGTACTACAATTTCGCTTTCATTCGCGGACGTAGTCATCCGTAAATAAGAAGCTTCATAAACCGCTTAAGCGGTAAAACGTAACGTTCTTGATGACTGGAAATGCCGTTTAGCAGTTCTAAGTAGCTGGTTAAAAATTCTGCGGTCAACGCAGTTTCATGCCCTGAGAATGAGAAGAACATCATGAAGAAGAAAGGTCGCGGATATTATGAATGCCTCAATCTTTTACGCTTTACAGGGGCTACTTTTTGTTATTACCGTCATATTGCATTTCTTCTTAGAGATTTCCACTACAATTTTTCAATTTTTGTATACAAATAAAATTACATCCTGATGAATTAAGTTTGATCTGTAGATAAAGTGAACTAGAGTTTCATAATTCATTTTTTTACCGTGGATTTGTGAATAAGTAGCGAAATTCTATTTGATCAGCCATTCCTAAGTGAAGCGAAATTATGCACCAGTATGACGAACGAATTATGCAGCGGCCTGCCGGTGACCAGGTGCAGTAATGCGAATCTACCCGAGAGAGCAGGCTCTGGCCCTGGCCTGGAATTCCAAAAGGCAGACAGCACAGACAATCTGAGAGAGGGCCTTTTGGAACCACGCGTTCGCTGCAGAAATTCACCGTTTGTTTACGGGCCAATGGCAAAAGGGAAGATGCCCTCCGCTGTTCCTAAACACAAAATCGAAGCGGAATAAGGCCCAAATGACGGGTACAGCGGGTTCCGGGGGCCGCTGACCCGACCCGATCCCTAAAACGTGGGCGGAGGCAGGGCCCGGACCAGCAGCGAGGCAGCCACGAGGTCTCGGTCGCCCCTTCCTCGTCCGGCATCGTCTCCTTCAGCCGGGAAGCTCGTCGGATCGTCCGCTCTCCTCTTGACCCTCCGACCGGCCCTTGAGCTTGGTAAGTGCCCTTACATATGCAGTCGATTTCGCTGGGAAAAGCGTGAGTTGTGAGGCAGGGAGCGGAGTGCCTGATTCGATCTCTTTCTCCGCTTCGCTGCTCTTTTTTCTGGTAACACCTCGATCTCCGAGCGATTTTTTTTGAGATGCGATGCATGGCCCGCTTGCATGTGGAGCCCGATCTGTTGCAGTTGCTGTGATTGTTGTTGGCTTTGATTTCTCACCGCGCCGGATGCTCTGCTGCGTCATTCGATTCGTACATCTTCATGTCCTTAGCTGCAGCCTTTCTGCCGCGTAAATAGCACCGAAGCTTGTTGTGTCAAAGCTGGATAGCTGCCTCTCGTGGGATTACTTACGCCTATGTTTGTCTCCCCCCTTCAATCTGTACTATCTTGTCCATCCCGTCGCTTCTGACAGGTTGTCATCTGGCCCTGGCCTGCCTGCTCTCGTTCTTTCTCTCCGTTTACAGTAATGGAGTCAGCGCACCCCCTCCACTGTTTTGATGTTTAGAAGCATAGAGGCCTAAGTGTCTCCAAGTTACATGTGGCCTCACTGCGAATATGTCTTTGTTTGGCGAGAACGGGGACCACACCTGTGAATTTGTTTCCTTTTTGGTGGATCGACTTTGAGCGCTGGTTTCACAGTCAGATCTGTTCATCCGTTACACTGATGCGCTGAGTCGAATCCGGTCTTTAGCTTCAGTGGAAGTCAAAAGTCGTTCTGTCGCGCGTCTCTGGCGGTAGGTGATGATTACCCTTCTGGTCGTGGATCGACGTGATATTTCTGGCGATATGGGAACCTGCTTTGTAGTTGAATCTTGAGATGTTTTCCCAATGCTTCCAGATCTACGACTGGTTAGAATTTGGATTCGCATATTTTATTACCACTTCATTTTGTTCCTACGGGACCTAACCACGCATACCTAGTTATTTTTTTTTCTTTTTTTTTTTCTTTGATTGTTCTGTCCTCTCCTGTACTTCTATGTCATAGCTAAGGGTTGTTCCTCCACTTTGTAGATTGTCAACGGCTAAGATCGTGGGTCCGATTGTTGTGCACATGTAGATACCCAACTTCCGATTCTTGCTTCTCCTGTAGTTGTCCGGTTCGAGGTAACAACGCAGTCTTATGTGGCAAGGAGTGAACACGATCAAGGCTTTATAATTGAATTGGTCCATTAATGTCTTGTGTCTGGAAACTAACCAGTACTTGTTACTGACGCCTTTTACGTACAATGATCGAGTTACAGGTCGATTTTGGCACTGATTCAAGATGGAGAGACAACAGTATACGACCTCTCTGGCCCAGAGATTCTCGGGCCAGACCTACTTGGGCTCTAAAATTGTTCCGAGGAGGAGCCTTGCCGTCCCCGAGATCAACAACTATGGAGCTTTCCGCCCCGGAGTTCTCCCGAGGACTTCAATGTACAACCCTCTGTGCCCAATCGATTTGAGCAAGGGGCCGAACATGGCCCCCAGCGTCTCCAGCAGCGTGTTCGTACCGGCACCAGCTGAGAAGGGAGTCGCAGGATTCATGATCGACTTTATGATGGGAGGTGTGTCGGCAGCAGTGTCGAAGACGGCCGCCGCTCCCATCGAGCGAGTGAAGCTTTTGATCCAGAACCAGGACGAGATGTTGAAGAGTGGACGCCTGTCGGAGCCCTACAAGGGAATCGGCGAGTGCTTCAGCCGAACCATCAAGGACGAGGGAGTGATCGCGTTGTGGCGTGGAAACTTGGCGAACGTTCTGCGATACTTCCCCACGCAGGTAAGCAGATTGTGATGCACGTGCGGGTGAAACATGATGGTGGAGAATCTAGGCTTGTAAATGAGTGATTCAAAGGGAAGTGGGTAGTGGATTGGTGGGCATGATGAAAGAAATTTGAGCGTGATGATGTTTGCTCTGGGTTGGCAGGCGTTGAACTTTGCGTTCAAGGATTACTTCAAGAAGTTGTTCGGATACAAGAAGGACAAGGACGGATACTGGGTGTGGTTTGCCGGAAACCTTGCATCAGGAGGTGCCGCCGGTGCTTCATCATTGTTTTTCGTGTACTCTTTGGATTACGCGCGAACCCGTCTAGCTAACGACGCAAAGTCGTCGAAGAAGGGAGGAGGCGACAGGCAATTCAACGGGCTTTTGGACGTTTACAGGAAGACACTGGCCAGTGACGGTATCGCGGGACTTTACAGAGGATTCAACATCTCGTGCGTGGGTATCATCGTGTACCGTGGATTGTACTTCGGAATGTACGACTCCCTGAAGCCAGTGCTGTTGACTGGAAACCTGGAGGTAAGAGTGGGAGTGTGGGAGACGTCAAGATGGTGATTTGTTGCATGCGGGTTGGCAGTTGGATGCAGGTGGAATGGAAGGTTGATAATGTTGTGATTCGTTCTTCTCAAGTTACACAATACCAGTAGACGTAGTGAGAGGTTTTGGGACGAAAGTTAGGGGCGAGAGCTGATGAGTGGTGGTTGATATGTGCAGGGTAACTTCTTCGCTTCATTCATGCTCGGATGGGGAATCACCATCGGAGCGGGTCTTGCTTCATACCCCATCGATACCGTCCGACGTAGGATGATGATGACCTCCGGTGAGGCCACGAAATACTCGAGCTCTGGAGCTGCATTCAGGGAGATCATCGCTAAGGAAGGAACCAAGTCGCTGTTCAAGGGCGCTGGTGCTAACATCTTGCGTGCTGTGGCTGGTGCTGGAGTGTTGTCTGGTTACGATCAGCTTCAGATGTTGTTTTTGGGCAAGAAATACTCCGGCGGCGGTGGTTAAGTGTAGTTAGTTATGGAGTAATCTGACAATGACGATATTTTTTAACAATTGTTCAATTTTGCCAATCAAATCAAGAGCCTTGTCATAATAGAGGAATCCTTGAAACATACTTGAGACGCACTGGATGGAGATGGTCATCTCTTGAATTATATACCTGTTATAGATGTTTGTCATGGGACGCTTTGCAGTGTTATCTGTGTGAACTGGATAGGACACGTTTTCATCATTATTTCGCAAATGACCTGTATAAGTTCGAAGGTCCCAGGCATCTCTCCCAAGCTCAGATCTTGTCTAGTTAATGTGTGTTACTCATGAGCTTTTTTTATCCAATGCAGTTCATTTACGTTTATCTAGGCAGGGGATCGAATTTATTCATGTGTCACGTCTAACTCAATCGAGTTATAAGTTTAATTTTCTCACCAACCGTTTGTTGAATATCATGCGGAGAGTTCCTCGTTTTGAACAAATCTACAATGTCCACCTCTTTAAGTGATAATGGGATCTGTTGAGGAACTTCAGAAGATTTAAAGCTCCAGACAGATTCGTAGCGGAGACGGTGGTTGGTGGTTGGTGGAATTTGTGAAATTATTAGTACGCTCAAGTGTCTTTCGCAGAATTGGATCATTATATCTTAACTTCTTTTCTGAACGTGATTCACGACGACACCTTCGACAACTGGCGGAGGGTTGGAAGGAGAATGCAGTTCTTGATGTGCATGGTCAGGGCTCAGGTGCCGTTGGACTTCAAGCTAGTGATGCCTGTATGCGGAATCGTCCAAGCGCTCAAAGCGCTGCTGTTGACGTTTGGTCAGATGAATTATGGTCGTAGTATGCATGGATTTATTCCATGAGCGTTTCCAAGCGATTTCTCAGATTTCGTATAATTGTCTTTTTGGGGTTCCTTGACTGATATTAAACCTTGAATTGAAAACGCTCGAGTGTCGGAAGACTGTCGTGACGTGTTTAGGGTTCACGTCACTTCGTCGGTGAGTAGAAATTCTGTCCGTAGGATTAATGTCCGAAAAGAATCCTATTTTAGCATTGAAAGTCAGAGAGCTAATTTTCCTTTTTTCCGTATTCACTTGTAGATTACAAAATGTCCTGTAAATTCGATAAAATTTTGTCTTTATATGCAAACAACGCTTGTGACTAATAAATCTGTTCCGATCTCATTCACGATCTTCGTGTCCTGTATGGAGATACTCCTTCATTGTTCATACGAACATTACTTGTGAACAAATATGACTCTACGAACTGCACTAATGATTTATCATGCCTGTGATGTAGTTCAAGAATCAACCGTGGACGAACATATTACAGAACCCCGTAAGTCATGAAGATCCGTGTAGAGTTAAACAGACAGTCTGAAGCAGCTCAATACTTTACACTTGGAGCAGATGTTTAATCTCTGACCATGAGAGAATCTGAAATTACATTCTACTGCCGGGCAAGCTACGTCTGACATTGAGTACCCTGTCAGGCACTGTTGTAGATATTTCTCTTCTGAAGAGAATAACTCATTGAATCTGAGACTGTAAAATTGGGTGACTGACTTCCAATCATCAGTGCCTGCCTCTCACAGAACAGGTTCCCATAATCTCCTCTCTGCCTTCCGACGAGGTGGGAATGCAGCCTCGTACTGACCATTGGTAGGAAAACCTGGAGAGGACGCGAAGGGGTAACTCGTGGAGCTAAATCCTCATGGATTGTAAGAAAAGTCTATTTTCTCGTACTATGTTCATTATTTTAAGACCCTCAAAAAATTGCTTTCCCTTCGTTTTTGCTGTGCAATGGGTAAAGTAGGTTCAGAGTTCAGCAAGAGGCAAATGACCAATCCATGTTCTCACTCAATATTAGTGTTCCTAATGCTTGACACAATCATTGTGCTTGATTATAACTATTGTGAAGTTGATTATTTTTCATCATAAACTCAAAGACAATTTCAAGTACATAGCTTCGCGATGTAATTGCCTGTCTCTAAAATTGTGATTAATTGCCAGTGCAAATATCTCTTGAGTCGACCACAAGCGCAGAGTTGCAAACTCAGAAGAGGGAAGAAGGAAAAAGAGCAAGAAGTAGCAAACGTATATCTATCCGACCCAAAGCTTGTTACATCCCGCATTGGCGTGTCTTGCATACTTCGTGGGGCAACAGAACGATACAGCCGACTGATCGCGACTTTGGTCTTGTCGCACTGACCTTACATCTACTGTGGTGGTAAAGATGCGGATGGTTCTTGTTTTTCTTGCTGAAATCGTCGTCGTCAGACGCTTTTTTCCAGGTCTGATAAGTGAGAACGACTTGAGGACATCCATAAGGGAGTCTTCAGGCAGACAGCCAGTCAGCAAGTAGTTTGGTGGAGCATTTGCTAAAACTCTTCAGATCGAAAGCCTGGAGTGTAGTCGATATCACAGTTCTCTAATATCACCTCATAACGTGCTCCCGGAATCCAAAGACACAAATCTGCAGTTTTCGCCTGCAATGAGATTCAACGAAGGAACAGTTGAAGGATTACTGCTTTGAATATATATTATAAGGCTAGGGTTTTATCTCGAAACATCTCTCAGCTGGCCTTTCGGCATCCTCATTAGAATCATTTGACCGTATATGAGCAAGTTTGCAAACAGACGACAGTATGCAGTTTGCACGACGTGGAGTAAGGAGAGTCCAGCCATCGACATAGTCTTGATGTAGAATCCAAAGCGCCTGCAAGAGCGGCGAAGATTTTAGTTTGTTATCAATTTTCATAACATGAGGAAGGGGCCAAGTAGATAAAGGAAAACAATGAAAAGTGGAAGCCCCCCTGAAGCCGGACACGGAAGATGAAACGAAAACTAGACCCCAATAGTATCAAGTGTAATACGTTTTACAACATCTAATACATCTCAACAATCAGAGTCAAAAGGTATAAAAATAAAAAACATCTGACTCTATCAGTTTTGCAATTCTTTTAGTATGTTATGCTGAAACTATTGATTCATATATATATATATATATTTATTGATGTGACAAATTTCGAATTCATGGGCGAAGAAGAGAAAGATAGGAATTTTTGTAAATATATTCTACATAAAGACACAAGCAATATGTCCAAATTAAAGGGAACATTGAAACAAGAAGTGATGTGATTCTCACTTTAAATCACTTAGGCCTACTTGATATGAAACACAATGGAATGAATGTCACATGTAGGATGGCACACTTAACAAGATTGACTCTCCATGTGCCAACCTACCCATATACTTCCTATCGAAGCCTGTGAAACTTTTGAAATTCCCTCCTAATGATATTTAGAAACTTGTGTTTTTTACATGACATTAGACTTCATGAAAATACTACCTTATGGTCACAAGTTAATATTACGAACTTATTTGCGATCACAAGTTGAGAAGATAATGAAGATGTAAAAATTGCTCAACTCGTCCAGCGATAATATGTCACTGATAAGTATTAACCCTATAAACAAAAAGCATTTAATATTATTGCAATTAAATCAAATTGAGGTTGGATACCAAGATTAAAAAACTAAAACTATCACGAGCAAAGTCAATGCTTTACTTAGATATAGTGAACTGTCCTTGTATGAAGAGCAAGATAAATTTGGAACATATTCCAAAACTTTTAACATATTCACAAACATCAACTAGACATAAGGAAGAATTTTCATAAACATTATGAAACGATTTCGAGGTAGATTTATTTTCCGAATTAAAATATATATGCAAGCGAATACACCAATAATCTTTTTCTGTAGATACCAACCAAACATATTATGAGATATACAAGTTGGTTTACCTCACGAGATAAAATTAGAATGTAAAGAGCAAAAATGCAATTCACCAGCAAATTTCCTTTTATCATGTTTAAATCTTTGATGTACAAAAACTCTTGAAATTGCAAAAGATAAGAATTTTCCTAACTAATAAAACTACTAAATACATCACGCAGCTGTTATAGCAAACTTTCAAGCCTAGGTTTGCAGATGGTATTATTGTACGGGAGTAATTTTTTAATTTTATCTTTGACTAATTATTCAATTAATGCATGTCTATATATAGTATAAAAATTATATATTTAATCATTGAATTTTTTTTTGATATGCAATCGTGCTCTCAATTTCAATTCATTTTATGCAAAGATTTTCCCTCACTTAATAATAGTCATGCTTGTCATAAATATTGTGAGAAGTTGCAATATGCTAAGGCTGTCATAGATGATGTTATATGATCTAAAATTAATGTGTACACAACATGACGTCAAATTATCTTTAATCAAATATGTACTCTATGCATTTTTTTTATGGATTGAAACATAAAGTTGTCAAAAATAAAATCTAAACATATTCACTCACACAATCAATACAGGAATTCACACACAAAAGCGCAGCCAATATTGAACATACTTGGTTCATCATTGCAGATTACATTCATTGGATACATCATGCTTTATTTGAAAAACTTTAAAACATGTTACTAAGAGTTTTTGTAAACTATGATACTTAATGACAATCCAATAAACTTGACTAACTAGGATCAAACCAATTTGAATGAAGTTAACACTTGAATAAAATTCTAACAATCTTTCTCTTAATTCATGTATTGGAAATCGTAACCTGTATAATCACAAACCGTCTTTGAAAAATTCATGATTACATAGATCCATCTGTAAATTAGACCACACTCAAACTAATCCATGACCGAAACAAGACAGAGTAAATATCTATATAAACAAAAGTAACATGATTGCTGATGAAGTCTAATTATGTTACTCATGCACATCTTGCAAAGTAGCATAATATCTTCAAAAATTCTTCAAAGAAATGACTTTGATCAATGTGTAATCTAAATTGAATTTCTTGTGAATCATGATCAATTTCACCTTTTATTTTAATAAATGCATCATAGATAAAGTGATATCAATATGTTTCATTAAACTGTTCATCATTTGATTTGAAGCAAGATGTAGCATAATTTCACAATCATAATGAAAATTAGTGACGTTTTATTTTAATTATATCTTAGTGGTAACTTTATTCAAGCTAATAAATATTTTTGCTGCTTTATTTTCAGTTTTTGTTATTGATTTAGCCAAGTATTTTTTGAATCAAATTTTCATTTAATATATACATCATCAAATGAATAGACATATCTAGTTATTATTTTTTCTTGTCCACATTTTGTACATAATCAGCATTAAAATAATATAGCAGAATTTTACCATCAAACCAACAAACTTTTAAATCATCAAACTATTTTCAATATTTTGGAGGTATGTAAAAATCTCATTCATAACTTTTTTATTCATTTTTTAGGATTCGATTATAAAAAAATGTAAAGCATATTATCATATTCATGAATATGTTCATTACTTTGTCATAAAAAGATTAATGATATTTTTCTTTCTTTTTTACATTGATTGGACATAAACCATAAAAAGATTTAAGTGTATTGCAAACAAATTTCAAAAAAGTTCAAGTAGAAAAAATATTATTTGTCAAGCACACGTTGAATAAACTTGAGTTGAATTTAACTCGGATTTTATTTTTTTTATCAAATTTCAATGAACATCCAATCCTAATTTTGTTTTGAACTTATTCATCTTCAATCTCATAT